CAGGCTGTGGCGGCCGAGATCCGTCGGCTCCAGCTGGAATGTGAGCCTCCGCTGCACAAACAAGATCCCGCTGTAACCGGAGAGCTGCACGAATGGAAAACACAGATCACAGAGGACGGAGACACGTAAGTTAGACCGGGAATAATGTTACAGAGCTTAAGCACGGGGATATTTATGAGTTTTCGGAAGTGTCGCCTGAGTAGGCCCAGCTCGGGTCTTGAAAGGTAATTTGATCCCTTTCCTGTGGGGAATGTCTTCCTCCAGCTTGTCAGTACAATCCACAGGCCCGGGCCTAACTCAGTCCGCGCAGGGGCTTAACTCTTAAAGCATCGGGGCTTATAAAAGTACGCTGCCGCAGTGTTAAAAATACACAGAACGGGTGTCCGGTTTTGACAATGGGCCTAGCTGTGGTCAGACACGGCGGTATTGGACGTAAACAAAAGGCTATTATCAGGAGGGAATCTACTATGGCCGCGGGTCAGACTGGGAAAGTCCCGGGCGCGCCGCCAAGGAATCCGACCGAAGCGCGCTCCCGTGAAGCGAGAAGCAGGAAAAAAAACTAGAAAAAGTACCTTAAATTACACAAACACAAGTGTGTGGAGACTGAGGGCCACAGTCCGCTCTGCCATACGCGTCTGCGGCTCGCTGCTATTGTAAAACCAGGGGGAATAACATTAAGAGTGACTGCAAATGTTATTTTGGTTATAACACAATTCATCCGCCGGGAAATATAGTTCAAACTCAGTATGTGCTGTCTCATAGCACGTGCATTAATGATGTGCTATTGATCAGACCTGAGGACCGGAACCGTCTCATACAAAGCAATGAAGCATGAAACCATGTTACAGTGGTTGGAATGATTGTAATAGCACTCTGCTCTTACACTAACCAAACTCTCAAATAGAGCTGAGTGTAGATTAAAACAATTACATAACTCAGTATGGAGTCAACTGCATGGACAGAGATCACTTCAGAGGAGATCAGTTTAAGTCAAACACAGGGTGATCAGTGTCTTCAGGGCCGATCTGATATTCTGCATTAATTCTACCTGATTTAGCACAAAGTCAAACTGTTACATTTCTATTATTATTATTTCATTATTTTGCACTTTAATCCTTCGGAATAAGGCAAGCAGGTGTATGTATTTCCTGTTATTTACTTGTTTACACAATGTCAAGTGTTATGCATGTGTTTGGTAACAGGTTTTCTCTTTCTCTCTGTCTCTGTAGGCTGCTCCACCTGGCCATCATCCATGAGGCCAAGGACTATATCAAAACCATGATAGACCTGTCCAGGAACACAGACTTCCTCAACACACAAAATGACCAGCGACAGGTATGCGAGAGCCGCCTCTGAACAGGATTTAAAAGGAACATTTTGATAAAACATAAAGAATAATGAAAATGCCCGCCGACTCAGTAACTCACCCGTTTTCTCTTAACTTCCTCCCATTCCCAGACTCCTCTCCACTTAGCAGTGATAACAAACCAGGCGGACGTATGTCAGGGCCTCCTGCTATCCGGCTGCGACCCCACGGTGGTGGACGACAGCGGGGACACGCCGCTTCACATCGCCTGTCGCCATGGTAACCTGCTGTGCTTCAGTGTGATCACACAGTACTGTCAGCCAGAGCATCTCCACACGGTGATGGCGGCCTGCAACTATCATGGTGAGATTGTAGGACAATAACAGTGTTTCTCTGAGAGTTCTTTTCCCACTTTGGACATACTGAGTTTTGTCTTTGTAACATTTCTGATCAATGCTTCAGTTGTCAACATTAAAACTGAACTTGTTTACACATTAGGGAACAAAAATGTTTGAAATTTCAGTGTTCATTATTAGAACATAGTATGCTGTAGCAGTGGTGGTTTCCATTCTGTGGTGGCCCACCCTTGGTGCATGGAAACAGACCAGACTGACCAGTCTGCTGCTGGTCTTAAGTAGTATTTAAAAGAAGGAGTGGTGGGCACGAACACTATGTTTAGGAGGAAGGAAATATTTAAACAAGCAAGGGGAATACCATAGCCATTCATGCCATCACATCCTGACAAAAACCCATCTATTACATGGCACATAATGTTAGCTGCTACGGCTCCAAATAGAAATGTGGAGGACTCCAGTTTTAGACGTGTGTGTGTGTGTGTGTGTGTGTGTGTGTGTGTGTGTGTGTGTGTGTGGCGTGCGTGTGGACTTATTTTAGCCTAGTATGGCATTGTTGTCTGGTTTGAAGATTTCCTTAAGGAACCAAATACAATTTTTTTTTTTTTACTAATTTTGTCATATTAAATGACAATGACCATATATGGAAGTCTTCTTTCCTTTAGTAATCTGCAATAACAGGACAGATTAATATAAATTCACATATAGCTAATAGACTTTTCCTTGAAAACTGCAGATGTAAAATAACTGGTCTGGTGTCAGTTGTTAAGATCTTCCTCTGATGTTTGTTTTACAGGTCAGAACTGCCTCCACCTGGCCTCAGTACAGGGTTTCCTCTCACTGGTAGAGAGCATGGTAGATATTGGAGCTGACATTAATGCAAAGGTAAACACCACACATGCACCATATCTATATGTGAGAATACACACTTAATATACTTGGAATATAGAATCACCAGCAGTATGTGCACCCATACACAAAATATATGTTCATGTCAGAATAAAATATTTTATTATAGTCTTTAACACCTGGTGCTAATAAAATCTTGTGTTCTCTCTCTGTCCTATAGGAACAGCGTAATGGTCGCAGTGCACTGCACCTGGCCGTGGACCAGCAGAATCTCTCATTGGTGAAACTGCTGCTGAAGAAAGGCGCGGACCCCAACCTCCTGACCTCTGGAGGCCACACTCCCTACCACCTCACCTATGGTCGCGACAACGACGACATCAGGCAAGAGCTGTACTCGCTGACCAAATCTGACCTGAGGGAGCTGCCTGACAGCGAATCAGACGACAGCGAGGAAGAGGAGGACGAGGAGTCTGATGAGGTGTGTACTGAGAATGCAGATCTCTCACTGTAAAATTAAAAGCTGATTTCTGGCCAGCGTATAACCATTTTTCTGACCTCTGTGTGATTACAGGTGGGTTATGACGACATTCAGTGGAATGGACATTAGCTGGAAATGACAGAGGAGGAAGTTACAGAGGCTGCGGCAATGACTGTAAAGGGCAAGAGAAATGGCTCAGCATGTCTACTGCTTCCTGCAATAATGTCATAAGCCCGATAGTGTGGATGACACGGCGCGGGCGTGACCACTGACAAGAAAGTGATGGACAGGCAGCTGTGAAGGAGAATTAGACGGAGGCCGATGGCCGAATAAACCAACGAGTCCACGGCTCCAGGCTGCAGGAGAGCAAGACGCACGCCGAGATGTGAATACATGACACATTATGATGGGGGATTGCTTGTATTTTGTGGACACTGCAAATCATTTGTCACAGAAAACATCCATCCACACAGATGTACCTGCAACAGCTCTGTTGTATGATATTGTAAATGCTGTGTATACAAAGATGTATATTTTATGGAAGCTGTGAATGTGTACAGTTGAGTAGGTTGTATATGTCAGACAGCAAACAGTCCAGCACACTCCAGTTAAATTAAAAACACTCATATTTAACAGTTAAAACAACTGTGTGAATGTATTTGTGGAGACTGGGAATGGGTGGCATGAAGGGGAAACAGATGGCATGTGACATGGAAAATTGCAGTTGGTCCTGACTGAGGCAGTTTGGACAAGAATGCTTTCACATCACGATCTTGGTCATATCACTATAAAGATCATAAAGAACCCAGCATATAATCCACAGCACCTGACAATACTACAAGGCTGCAATTATACGGAAAATTACCTCAACCATGTGCCCTTCTCCTGCCGTCAGTGCGTCTGTGTTTGTAGGAAAAAAATGCCTCCATCAAAGCATGACAGAGTTTCAGTTCTGAACGCCGCCTTTTATTTTCATATAATGCATGTCATGCTGGGAAGTGCTGATAACACGACAACTTGTTTCCACTGAATGAGGAACTGATGGTCAGTTGAAATCCTGCTGGGTGTGTGCGTAAAAGAGATAAGATGCACAGGGAAATTTCGTGTGTCAATTTGGCCAATTGCTCAGTCCTCTAAATCAGGAAGTTTTCGTCAGGGTGGGGCAAAGAGGGAAGGGACAGGAAATCCCCAGGAACAGAACACTCAGCTGTTCGCGACATTCCTACTTCTCATTCCTACAAAAAAGGGACACTGAATAACAGGATGCTTCAGTAAAGTATGGGGAAATGGGGAGGAAGGGAGTTTTACTCTAACGTCAATGTTAAATACACTTAAAGAATTCTATGATTGTATTGTAGATTTGCTCTCTAAATTTACAACAAAACACTAATAGCTGTAAATACGAGGGATTTTACAACAAAATACTAATATCTTAAATAATTGCAACACGTTTTTAATGTCTAAATTCTTTTGTAGACACTTACTTTTCCCAATTAAATATTTCTAAAATGTCATATCATATGTTAAACGTGATCATGGCTGACTAAATATAGTAAAAGCAGAATCAGGGTTTCTGCAAGTCAACAGGCCTATTTCAAATCCATGAAAAAAAAACAGAAAAACAAGCATATGAAGTAAAATCTGAATTGCTTCATTTTGTAATTGTTACAGGATAATCAATACAAGTTTTTCCCCCGAAAAACATTTAATGGCAAGACTGAAAAATGGAACTTTAAACCCTAAAATTCTGAAGTTGGTATATAAGACATTTTAAGACCCAGCAGACACCCTAATATTAAAAGATTGTGGCACATCAAAAGTCAGTTTTATATCCAAATATCATCAAGTTCTACAGTGATATTTCTACCAATGACTCATACTCCAGCACTTAGACTCAGCCCATCCAAAAGCAACACTTCCAACACAGCAAAAATATGAAATGCATGAGGGCTGATTAATATGAAGGCTAAAGCACCAAAAGGTTAAATATGCAGAGAAAACGAAACACAAAATGTAAGTGTTCCATAAAAACACTGTTTAATAGAAGTGCAGAAATGTACATCAAAGTGAGCAGAGGAGAGGAGGATCAAAACACCAGGGAGAGAATGGTATAATTAGAGACTTCCCATTGACGTTGACCTGAGCAGACTTCAGCAGGGGTGTGACAAGGATGACTGTCGCAATGGGAGAATTCCCACAGCTGTTCCCTGGGTTATCACAAAGTACATCAGGGTATAAACATCATGCTGAAACTAAGGACAGCGAAGGCTTTAAAGCTGATGAATAAAATGAGACATACATGTGGCAGCCCTGAGTAAAGACTGAAAGCACTGTTGAAATACAGTGACTCAAGAAGCTGCAGGACCACCAAGTCCTTACAAAGTAAGAGGTATTAGGAGGTATTGTGCTGTAGTCGTAGTGTTACTGCACCCCTGTCTTCCAATCTGCTCATGTCACACTCATCAACTGAAGTCTTTTGGGCTGAGCTCCATCCAGAGAGGGCACTGTGGCTTTCTGACACCATCAGAGCATATCAGACTCATGTGTTATATGGTTGACAGATTTGAATGTCCAGCATCTTTCCAGGCTCTATGCCATTTGGCAGCTGCCTGCAGTAAGGGTGTTTCAGCGTGGTAAGAAGGAAAATGGGGTCGATATATGGATAATATTGTGTCCAGTCAGGTCCTGGGTATGACCAGAGAGAGATTGGAGGAGGAAGTGCCGGAGCAGATGGGTAATGTATTTTACCCACCTGGTAAAAAAGGGTCATATTGTTCTTTATTCAGTTCAATGTGTAATACCACCTCTCCGGAACAAGGTGATACCAACTCCTCCTTTACCTTGCTTCTGGACAAGACCTTTGTGTGGAGGAGGTGGGGTTGCCGTTCATCATCCTTTTCAGAATAATGCAGACGGCAGCAAAATGGCTGCCAACTTTCCTCACTCTCTCTCAGACAAAGCCACCAGGTGAATGTCGATCTCAGACTCTGACAGAATCCTGGAACATAAACACACGAGTTAATGGTCATAAATTTTGTTGTGTCAGATTTTGTACTCCTTGCACACAAACAGACATGTTGAGAACACATTCAACCATGTAAGCCCTTACTTTGATCTTATCTGTGGTTTGAGTTTGAGGGAATTTCCATTACAATACTTAAAAAATACTAAAAAAAAAAAAAAAAGCCCTGCAAGGCTTTAAAAGCAAGAGCAGTTGTATCTGTTCAGAACTGCATGTTTTGTTGAACTGTTTTTGTTTTTTTTGTAAAATCTATCCATTATCCAGAAATTTGGCTACATCCATCTACCTGTTTTCTGCAATGCCCTGCTTCACTTTTATTCTGAGACACCCTTTCATAGTAGCAGCTGGGCAGTAATTTACCTGTGGCCAGGACCATTTTCCTTGCTCATGGCTATCAAGATATTTTCTCTCAGGAAAATACTCACTTGAATTTGGATTCCTTTGTAGTGACAACTCCCACCTCCAGCTCTGATGGCTTGAAGTCGATGGAAAGCACGGTTGACAAACATGAGATAGCAGTCTGTTTTGATAAGCATGACAGGGTGGAGAAGAGGAAAGTTAATTAAACATTGCATCTGAGAAATGGATGCATTTGGAAGCAGAAAGAAGCTCACAGTGTCAAATAATCTAGAAAGATGGAACATAATGTATAAATATATAAGGGATGCTTCTATTTGTTAAGGTAAATGAGTGAATGAAAGCCTATGCTTACACATTTGACAGCAAATACAATGTTCAATGTTTCCCCATTTGTGCTACAACAGCTGTTAACATTTCAATAGATGTTGAACCTCCTAAAGAAATAAATATAACCACGGCACATAATATGTTTGTCCACCTGCTCTTCTTGTCTACCAACAGACATTCAATTGTGAATAAGGAAGGGCCATTGCAAAATGTAGGTTTAACATTCAATTTAGATCTCGGTGACATATTTCACTTGTAGCTTTGACCTTTTATTCTTTTTAATAGGAGATTACATTCATCTGGAAAATAATAAACATTTCAGTTTAATGTATATTAATATCAGGATTCTTCCCTAATTTGTATAACTAAATCCATAACTTAAATATACATTCCTTCAATGGCTCCAACAGTTTGGTTTCCACTCCAGTTGCCAGAAAACCATCAAGTAATGCAGTAACATTCTAGTACGGTGACACAATTGTGAAACTCCCAGACATTTTCTGACATCCAAAAAACTCCCTGACATTCTCTGCCAAAGAAATTCCCACAAAAAAGATCCACGACGTTCCATAAATTCCATAAATTCTATAGATATGTCCCATACCTCTATAGTCTGCTCATAGGTCCAATCCAGTTTCTTCTTGACTTTCTTCTCTAGGAAGCTGGTGGCTTCAGTCTGCTTGACTCCAGCTGCTGTGGCCTTAAAGCCACAGTAGTAGCCGGCTGGATCACACTTGTACAACTGCGGACCCAACTCTTCATCCAGGCCGACCACTATCATACCTGGGGGAAGGAAGCAGGACAGAGGGGCATGAGGACAGGACAGTAGAAACAAAAAGAAAGAGGCAATGACATCTATTCAAATAACTGGGACAAAAAAAATACATTGTCATTTGTCAAAACATTTGGAATCATTGTAAGATTAAAAGTACCCTGTTCAAGCTCCTGCAGGCTGTTGAAGCTGTTTATGGGTAACATAAACAGCTTCAACAGCCTGCAAGAGCTTGATCAGTTTTCAAAGATATAATATATGAATTGGAGCTGCAGACAGCAGATATTTTGTGCTGATCTATATATAAAAAAAAAAAATCAAGCTGTAATTTAAACCATCTAAAACAAAATTTACACAAAAATGGAACACTAAACCATATCTCATAAAAAAATAAAACTGTGATGTTAAAATAAAAGCATTCACAAGCTCTGGTCACGGAAGAACATTATTCAGGATGTGGCAATAAGGAAATTTTTCTGCTAAAGAAAAACACATGCATGCAACTCACAGCAGCCTAGCGGCCTCATCTCAGCATTCTGCGTGTAGACTTGGGAGATATCTGCCAAGCGTTTGCACAACATGTCCACAGGGATCTCATAGCCATACTTGTACATCCAGTTAGCTGCTTCATACCGTGCCCTCTGCACCTGAGACCTGCTATCAGCTGGTGGGAGGAAGAGGCAGGAAACATGTTTCACACAAATTAATTGAAGAACAGACAAATACAGGGATGAACGTAACAGAACGACGCTGCTTCAGTTTGTTTACAGTGAAAGAATATGATAAAATTCTTTGTGTAAAAAAAGGATACATGACATGAGAGGGGTACTTGAGGTGGACAATTTATTACTCTGATTCTCAGACAAACCAGTCCCTGACCCAAATATATCACTAATTTACTGCTAAGAACAGGTCGACTGTGGGCTGCTCTGGCCAGCTTTGGAAAACTGAACAGGTATGAGCTACAGGTTAGAGTCTTAGATTTAAATTTGGCTAGCTACAATGCATTTGGAACTAACAATTATTTTCATTATTGATTAATCTGTCATCATTTTCTCAATTAGTCAATAATTTTGTAATTACTTTTGTATTGACGGATACATTACTAGCTCTGAATGAGAACAATAGCAACAGGACAATATGGCAAAAAAACAAGTCAGCTGGACTTCTTCAAATATTCTTGACGGAGACTCAACCTCAACCATTAAATGCCTCAAAATCTGGGATGTTCACCATCAGTTGGATCGCTTACCAGTCATGCCAGTCATAACACAGCCAATGTTCTCTGTAATCCTGAACAGATGTGTGACCGTCAAGGCATCCAACAGCTTGTCCTAAGAAAAATGCAAGACAAAGACAAAAGAGGAATGTAAACCACACACGTGCGTCACCAGTAACACAACTACTATAATAACAGTTGTGGAATTTGACCACATGCTTGGTAAAGACACAGAAACACAAACTTCTGTGTGTTTATAATGTGTATGCGTATACTGACGGGGACTTTCTTTTGTGTGACAATCACAACGCAATCCTTCCCTCTGACCGCTACAGATGTCAGTCCTCCCTGGTTGATGGCTTTGAAGGCATACTCTGAAGAACAGAACAGAATAAACTCATGAGCCACAAGTGTGCACTGCAAACTTTTTTTATTTATTTATTTTTTTTAACCAATGTGGGCATCTATTTTAAATAAGGACTCAGACTAACTAGCTAGTTGTTTCGCATGTTTTCACAACTGTCCATAGATTTGACGACTGACATATGGATAGTGGTATTTTATTGTCACAGGTTTTCTTTTGACAAGGTTTGATGCTAACAATTAATACAGCTCAGTCATGATGACTCGTTTAAGAGAAGACTAATTGTGAGAATATGGGTTAATAGTGTGCTACAAACTGGGTTTCTAGATTAGCTGAATAAGAAATTAAAATAAATTCCAATAAATAAAGTTTATTTATATAAATAAACATTAACTAATGGTAGCACACCACAGCTAAATTAAGCTAAAGTTAGCTAAGGTAGCTAGCACATCTGCAACAACACGAACATGTTAATTACTTACAACTTAACTATCTTTAATTCAAGTTAATTATATATTTCTGGCACACTTCCACCCTACTATGATGCACTTAAATAAAAGTCTTTCTAAATAACACTGAACTATGAATGGGCTATAAAGAGGAGCTGCTCGCTAATGTTAGCCTGTTAGCCTGTTAGCCTGTAGTGATGACAGAGCAGGTTGAGCTCTGTTCATTTCTTTCTACACTCACCGACTTGGTAGAGTCGTCCCTCCGGAGAGAAGATGGTGATATGGCGGTCAAACCCTGCACTTGATCCCCGAGACATGACGGATGGAAATAACTGAGGTAAACACCGGTTTAAACTGAAGTTAAAACTAAAACTGTAAGGAAACAGAGGCAAAACATGCCAAACATCTGCACCGGATATGATCTGCCCGATTGAAGGCTTTCATTTCCGGGTCAACTTCACAGCTTTGTAGTTCACGGATGTCACAACTGACTACAACCCTGCTGCTACTTTGTATTGATGTAATGAGCTGCAGGTGTTCATGACTATTATTATTACTAAAACTCAAGTCAGATTATTTGTCCCATGGCTGACTTTTAAATTAAAGAGAGCTGGCAACTTTGGTTTTGTTTTTTTTGGAAAATGTTTTATTTACAGGTCCACAGTCATTTATCAAAGCATATGAGTTCTGAGTGTGTGCCTGTTCAGTGCTTTTTGGTGAGGCAGAGCCATTGTTGTGGTACTTCATGGGTGCACCTGTCCTCTGTGTCGTCATAGGGAAGGTGCCACGAGTCCCCTGAAGTCTGGACAATGGTGTCATAGCTGAAAATATGCTACACACACACACACACACACACACACACACACACACACACACACAGAGTTAACTGGTATTCTTCGACCCTCTCCCCTCACAACCTTCTCTCCACTGCCTGATCCTCCTCTTCCTCACCTGAAATCGGACTTTCTTGCCTACGTTGACAGGTCCACTCAATACCAGCTGGTGGCCTCTCTGCCATTTGAAGAAGAGCCGTCTGGTGCTCATGTCTGTCAGGCAGGCCTTGTGGTCCCTCATCAGGTCCCTAGTCACAAACTTACAGCTTTTCCCAGAATTCAAAGTGGCATACAGCAAGAAGGGGTCATCTTCTGAACTGATAGAGCAAAAGGTGTGAGGTAAACTCGTTATAATAAAGTCTGTTAAGAACAAAAAGGCTGTAAATGAACAGAGGAAATAGCAGGACGAAAACCTTTTGATTTTAGAGAAGCTTTCAGTAAATGCACAAGGAATTCATTGTAATAATATGACATTCCCCCTTTTTTCCCCCAAAGATGCTGCTCCTTAAACATTCTCAGTGAATATTCTGTGTGAAGAGCATTTTATGCATTTTCTAAGGAGCATATACCATACGATTCCTTTTTAATCAGGTGCTCACATGTTTTCAGTGAAGAAGCAATGAGCTTTCTTCAAGATAAGGTCCATGTGGTGTCTGGCCCAAGAGACAGAGGGCGTCAGCATGTGTTTCCTCCCCAACACCAAAACAGTCAAGCCCTGACGGTTCAACTCTGACACCACCGCCAACAACTGAAACACACACACACATTCATACCTAAATACTTTGAAAACATCAATATTTAATGACACAAATGTTGGCTGGATGCCACCTTCATTAAGAACCTTACAACATATCATTGCATGTTAAAAAGATCAATGGTAGAGATAAACAGGTGAATCAGAAGTTTTGTAAGTTGTGCAACAAAAACATACAAAAGCATAGCAGTGTTAAAGACCTACAGTATATAAATGACATGCCTTTGTAAGTGCACACAACACAAGTTATTTTCTTGGATGTCTTTAGATATGCGAAAGAGAAAGGATTTTCTGAATGGGCCCTTAGATATGGCTGAAACAAATTAGTGTGACTAATTACTGTACCTGTCTCACTAATAATGCAATGAAGAACTTCTGTCAACCTACTGGGTGCCACAGCAAAAAAATACTACTTAGTTGTACTTTTTTTTTTTTTACAACTGCTGTAGCACTGAAGCAACAGTTTTGTTAAACAGAGATGTAATATAAAATCTAGGGAAATCGATTGTTAAGATGTTTAGTGTGGCTTTAGTGCATCTGCGGGCCCCAGGGAAGCCTTTAGATATCTTGATGGTCATATTATCTGACCTTAAAAGGCTGGTGTACTGTATATGTGCAATTTTTTGCCATGGAAGTGGCATGACTCTTTGGAGGACAATGTCAGTCAGTCCACAACTTCTGTCAGGAATAAAATATAATTTACAACTATTGGATGGATTGGAGTGAAATTATGTCCAGACGTGTTGTCCCCAGAGCAAGAAACCTGATGACTTTGGTGATCCCCGGCCTTTTCTCTGGTACCTCCATAAGGTTGACATATGCATTTGTAGCATATGCGGTACTTTGTGCTTAGTGCTAATTAGCAAATGTTATGTTATTTGTTAATATTGGCACATTGTACTGTGTCCGTGATAATTACGTGCTAAAGATCAGCGTGTGAGTATAGACATAGTATAGTGTCAGTTAATCACTGTGAGCGTGTTAGCATGCTGACATTTGCATTTAGCTCAAAGCACCGCTGTGCCACAGTATAGCCTCACAGTGTCGATAGCTCGGCTGTAGACTTTCTTGTTAACTGTAAATTCAGCAGGTATTTTCATATTTTATATATAGCTCCAATTTCATTCATTCATACATACAGGCATTTGAATAAAAGTTTCTGTTAGTGGTCCTGATGTAAATTTCTATGACTTTTACATTAATTTAAATAATTTATTTAGCTTTCCAGCGAACTAGATGACTAGATAAGGAAATAATTTTGTCTGTGTTTGTACTTTTCTTTGTCTTGCAGCCACATTAACATCTGAAAAAGATGCAACATATGTTAATACAGAGAGACAGAAAGACAGATAGTTGCTACACACACACATCCATCTGACATACAGATGTGGGCAGACAAGTAGGCTAGGTGTTATAAAAATCAGGTACTGGCCAGTTATAGAGGCACTTCCTGCACGCATTTATCTATCACTCACTCACTCACTCACTCACTCACACAGACACAGACACAGACACACACACACACAGACACAGACACACAGACACACACAGACACACACAGACACACACACACACACACACAGCAGGGTTAGTCATAGTGCAACTGTCAGAAAAGCCCCTGGGTTGGACAGACATACATGTGGGACGAAACCAGTAAAATCCAGCGATCATTCTGAACAAGTCCTGTTAGAATAGTCAACCCTGTAAAATATTTAGCTTAACTAATTTTTTTTGTTTGTTTTTTTTAAAATCACATTTTGCATGCACAAGTGTCTCACCGCCTCTGACTGCTTTCTTTTGTCGCTGTTGATATTTGCTACATTCAGTCCATCTATGACCACATGAAAAGCAGGCTTCTTCTTCATAAACAACATGAACTTCTGCAACTCCTGAAAGACAGAGAGACAGACAGAAATGAGACTGATACATTTAGAACAAATAGGTCAGATCAAGATTTAGCTGGATGGTTTACCTGGATATTGTGCTTTATTACACTTCAGTTTAAACTCCATGACATTACTGCTTTTTGCTTTCTTAGGGATGCATGAGAATGCAACAAGGCTGAGAACGGACCAATACAGTATAAATGATTGTGCATTAGTTGCAAAAAGCGCAGCTGTGCTTTGAGCTGAAAGCTAACATCTGCATACTAACAGTCAAAGTGACAAGGAATCAAGGAAATGTATGTATCATTACACACAATGTTGTATAAAGAAACGTTTGTTTGTAGTTCCTTCATGCTACACAGGTAGAAAAAAATAATTACATGTATAGAATAAAATAGAAAATGAATAAAATAAAATACAACAATATATACAGTTATTTATATACATATATACATACATCCAGGATATAATTATGCAGTGGATTTTTTAAATTTGCATCTGGGGGAATGTAAACAGCAGCCAACAATATGGCAAATCTGGCTCTCTTCCTCTCCTCTTGGGGCAACAGCACCTACTAGTTGGTTGGTCCCGCTCATATGGCTGGGTGGATTGTCTCATGGTAAACTGCTTATTACTCCAAACCCCAAGTTTCCTTTTTCTGATGACTGTAGGCTATTTCTGCTATAGGTTGCAGCCCTTTACTGCATTTCATCTACTCCTCCTCTCACCTTCCCTGTCCATCTTCACCTGTCCTATCCAGTAAAGGCATAAAAGCCAAAAAAACTGTTTGAAATATTGCCATATTTACTATCTTACATTCACTAACTAGCACTAAACACAAAGTATAGTACAGGTATTTGGTCATCAGACAAATTAGGAAATTTCAGTTCATGGTGGTGCTATAGGGAAGGCCAGGGAAAGAATGTCTGTTCACATTTTTGGTCCAATCCATTTGGTATATATTTCTTTGAATAAGTAATGGATTTGACCAGCTGGCGGCCCCTGGGTAAAGGTAAGGGGATCGCCACAGTCGGCAGGTTCATCCTCTGGGGAATGTCCGTACAAAATCTCATGGTAATTCATCCAATAGGTGTTGAGATATTTCAGTCTGGTCCAAAGTGGTGGACTGACTGACTGACTGACTGACTGACACTGCCATGCAGCATGGCTAAAAAGTCTGATATAAACTGCAGAACATTGATGAGAAATGTTGCAGTTCTTTATTTGGGCAAACCAAGGTAAATAATGTGCTCTACTTGTTGCTTTTATAATAGATGTTTTAGTCTTTTATCAGACCAAAATTCCATTAAATTCACAAATAGGTAGGGAAATAATATTATTGAATAAGTAGCAGTAGTCCTCTTACAGACATTTACATATCTACCTTTCTCAACACGTGTGTTAATTGCCCGTTTGACACTTAATTCATTATCTTACTCACTTTACTCTGTTCCATTTTCCGTTCATGACTACACAGCCAAAATCAGAAATGACTAATGTCAAAATACATTTGGGTGAGATGGAAGACTCACTCATTTTCAGTAAAGGTGACTGCCAAAAACCTAACAATTTGAATGTCAACTAGATATTTGACTAAACATGAGCAGTCATGAAAATGTACACAAAAAGTCTGCAGAGCTCTCTAATAACAACATCAGGGACTTGTTCCCTATTGTGGTTGAGGAGCGTGACTGAACTCCACCTGTGAGTTGGCTGGCCTGATGGTCGGTTGGTTGGTTGTCTCGCTGACTGATCACAGACCTGCCAGTACCACATTTACCTGGCCTTTCCTTCTCGTTACTGAGATGGCAGATTGCCAGCTGGCCGCTCAACTGACGATAGAGTACTTGGTGTTATGATACAGTTTAATGGTTTAAAAATGTACACACTGCAGACAGTGGGCATCTGTTAACTGTCTGTACTGTCTTGTTTGTACATTTGTTCAAACATTATTTTCACACACCAATA